CGACTTTCTTTTGAGATTGCAAGCTGCGACCAAGGTCACCCATGCCAATCTCTGCAAGTATTTTTTACCTGTCCGTGTGACAACGAGCTTCGTTGGCGCGAGCTTTGTCATAGGACCTCGCGCCCCCGGCATCTATGTACATGAGTAAAAAGACATATCACCTTTAGAACTAGCCACAAGGTGTACACACACACACACACATCCAGCGAAGACTTGTTTCTCTCGTGACCCCTCATTTGTTACTGCAGCAGCAACCTCCAGCTTCGCTGGATGTCTTTGAGCACTTTTTTGGCTCTGGAATTCAGTCGCCTCATGCATGTGCCAAAGCTGAGGCTGACTTCCTGAGAGGCATTTTGCCTGGCCCTCACTTGTGCTAGCCCCCGGGGCCGTTGAATGATGTTGAACGCATGAGTTGAAGACGCGTGATTTTTTCAAAGAATGATACGTGCTGCTCCGCCGCAATGTGGCTGATGCCATAGGATTTTAATGCCAGGTACATCCAGATCTCGTGAGGCGATACAGCAAGCGGCAAATGCATGCAAAAGCGTTACCTTTTGGAAAGTCCTGCTTATCTTGCTTACGTTCCATCCACGGTATCTTGCTTAACGTTTTCTATCCCTCCCATCCGGCGCCTTCTTAATGTTTTTGACGAACCTAATAAGTATTGTGAAGTGGTATGTTTTATAAACTTTAATATGGAGGTGCCCCAGAAATATGTTTTTTGACGAGCCCGGTTTGAAAACATTTTTGTCTACGCCCCCTACAACACCTCAATTTTACATTAGTAGGCGCAGAGCTGGGAGTTGTGGGGGCGTTGGGTGCAATGCTGGACAGCTGCGTGCTCAGAAATCCGCGCGGCCACCGGAAGCCTACAAGTGAGAATTGGAGCCCAAATGATGATGGTAATGCGGGCCGCCCGGGCCCCCGAATCATCGGCATCGGTGGGGCGTCGTTTCCTGTTCCCTTGCTTTGGCGGCTGTCATGTGACACATTTAATGCGGTTTCCACTGACTGGTTTGTTGAGGTAATTGAGGCTTCCCCTCTCCACACCCCGTCTGCCGGCATGCCTATGCCATTTCCTCCGGCCTTCTTCCCCTTCGGGCCTTTCCAGCCTTTTCTGAGTAGCTTGCAGTTCCAAGGAAAGGAGACGCTGGAACATAGCTTCCTGAGTCCCTCCCTTGATGGGCATAGCTGCAGTTCCCAGACGCTTCTGGAAGAGCACGTGACCCTTTGCTAGATTTTGATTAGATTTAGTTCCCGACCTGTGTCTCACTTACAACGTCGGCTTCCCCTCTAGCACCCGCGAATAAAAGCCTTGCCCGTATTGTATAATAGTATACGTGTTTGCGTTTTGTCTCTTATGCGACCGTTACATTCTTATCATTCTTGAAGCATCAAGCATTGCATCTGTACGGCAAGCTCCGCTTAAGACATGATAAACAAGCGTTTGGTGCACAAAGGCACGCAAGCTCCATTGCACACACACAGGGAACACATTCAGGAACAGCGGCGACGGTCACATTTCTTTTGTTTCAAGTAGGCTGTATCAGAATCATGTCTGCCATAACACGTCAAAATCTTGGGTTTGCCCCCACGCGCGCGCAGGCCTTTTCCCACGTCAAATTCAATTTACAAAGGCAACGAACACAGCTGAAACAAAAAGGGAAGTCTTTCGGGTCAGCGATTCGGCTTGTCCGGGCGCTATAAGCAGCATTCGAAGGCACGTTCCGCCCTTGGATTTTCAGGTTGCGACTCGAATGCATTTTTGCTTCGAAAGTTAGCACAATTGTTCGTTCAACTTTCGCTGCCCCTGGCGTGGCCGATTGGCACATCCAAGCAGTCAACGCATGGAATATGGCGTCCAGCTCAAAGCTTCTACTTCACGATACTTTAATCAAGAAGCCTCAGAACGTCCAAACCACGTCAATCTCGCACGTTCCGGATGGACATTTCAACTTTTAGACGGGGATCCATCAAGATCGCAAAGAAAGCTTGCACACACGCGCTCAAGTCCACCTACTGGAGTTTTTATTCTTTGCCGGATTGCACTGCGGCGCCGACAAGAACATGACAAAGAGCGGTCAAGGCTACAATCAACTTGTTCGCGAGTGTGAGCTTCACATGCAGGAGCATGCAATCCTTTTCCACAGGACCCTCCCCCAAACTGTGTGCCCTGCTTCTTGCAAAGATTTCGGCGTCTGTCGCCGGGAGGACTGATCCATCGTCGAAGCGGGCAAACTTGGCAAATTCTGCCTGTACGTTCACATCGCTGGATGACTTGTTGTTCAGAACTCGTATCTGATACTTCACGATTGTGTCAATGCCCTTGTCACGGATAGTCCTCAAGGGATCTTTGCCTGTTTCGATGACGATTTCGGTCGATAGAAACTTTGCCAAGCCAGATGCGTCAAAGAGATCCAAGTTACCAGGCTTACTGAAATCGCCACTGCCAGGTACTGCAGCATACATCTCCAGCGTCACATACTCTGTGGTCTTTGCTGACACAACCTGCGAGAAAAAATGCAAAGCAGATCACAGATCAGCTTCAGCCTTCACTCAAAAGATCAACTTTCCTCACACTGCACCTGCAACTCTGCGGAGCACCTACACAGCGTCAGGAGGACCGCTGCAACCCAAGCCATCATGGTGCCCATACTGCTTGCGTGTTCAACTTGCATCAGGTGGTATTGTCATGTCAATGCTGAAGGCCAAGGCTGCATGTTTGCAAAATTAAGAGAAAATCTAGCTTCCGAACCAAACGCGCCGTTCTTCCTCTGCAAAGCTTGCGAGACTGGAGCAAAACCATGTCGAAGGAAACGCTATCAAAACACGCCCCACACACCACAACAATGAGGGTATCGGCAACCGTGTGAGTTTAGATTTCTGAGGATCCTGCCCCCGTGCCAGTTGCACAGCATTAAAGTCATCAGAAAGATATGCTGACCTAAGTTGTTGACTCTGTTCTGACATCTTTTTCAAAACGGAACGACCCCCCCCCTGCAAGCTCAGGCTTGGCCTACTGGCTAAGCTTGGTCTCTTTGGGCTGGACTGTCTTGCGCATCAGGTCATGTGAGACAAATTAGGTGTCAGCCGCTGCAAGAACCAGACCATGATCTATCCTAGATCCCAGAATCTGGAATGCGTTGCTGCCCTTTTCAGATGTTCAGGAATGCTCTTGTGGCACTCCTTTCCTCCTACTAAATAATAGCTTCCATCTCCAGGATGTTTGTCCCGTCCTTGCACGGGGAGAACACTGCAAATTGCCTGAGTTGAGGCAACAGCGTAGCATTCTCAATGCGAAGGCGAAGAAGGTGTGTTCGCTCAGATGACCGCATGGCAGGCAATACATGAATCCGCTTTCTGCCAATGGCACTGCCTTTGACCAGTGACTTCCATCCGCTTCCAGTATTCTGCTCCAATGTATAGTTCCTGACCCGCTGCCCGAGCACGATGTCTTCCTGAAGCTGGACGCGATCAACAAGCGTATTCCCTGGCAAAGTCAGTGTAAAGATGTTTCCTGTGCCAGAGGTGGACGCCAGCGGAGAGCCATAGCAATTCCTCACCCACTTTCCCAACTGACGATACATGGCAGCATGACTATCTTCCACCAAGCCGTCTCGATCAATGGAGAACGCCAGTTCCATTACCATCCCTCTTCCGACGATGTCATGATAAATTGGGATCATCTCCGTGAGGTTGCGTACATCCAAATTGGGCTCCCAGAACCAAATGTGCTGTCGGAAAAGCTGCGGATCGCAGAATTTTGGGTACCAGCCGTCAGCATCTGGATCACCAAAATAGCCAGTGCCAGTGTTCCACACATCTTGAGGCCCCACATCTTGAGAAGGGTGTCCAGACTCCGTGCCACACCACCAAACAGGATTTTTGGGTGTTCCCGCAGCCTGAGGCTGTAGTTCATCCATGAGGTTGCCAAGGCCACCGAGCCCACTGTCGACCCAAATCCGGGTAAGGTTGCCATATTGCGACCAAAGCTCTGTAACCTGATGCCGAGCAATATTCAAATAGTCATGGTCTGACACATTCCGTTGCCCGGGAAGAACTTCCTCCTGACAAGAGTTCTTTCCAAAAAAATTGTGACAAAGGTAGAAATTCTTCATGATGGAATAGTAGAATCCATAGCCGACCCCTGCCGCCTTGGCAGAATCTACAAAACGTTGCAGGACATCATATTGGATGGCGGCACCTGGCATTCCAACGTTGTAGCCATAGGGGCTACCATCCGGAAATGTGGACTTCGTTGGCCAAAGAGCGAAGCCACATCCGTGTTTGGCTGTCAGTACTGCAATGTTTGCCCCTAGAGCAGTAACACTCTCCATCCACTGTGTGGTATTCAAGTTTTTTGGGTTGAATGTGGCTGGGTCGCTGGTCTTGCCAGACGCATATGATGCGAGCACATCCCAATTCGTCTGGTCACAACAGGGATCACCATTATGAGCAAAGGTGCCCATGTTGAAGTGAATTAAAGCCACGAAGTCTGTGTCCTGATAGCGCGCCTGGGCTGGTGACGGGACCGGCAAGGCTGCAGATGCTGCAGCCTGGCAAATGACCAGCACGATCCATTTCAAAGCCATTCCCGTGGGAAACTTGCCGCAAACACCTATTGCATGAATGTTTGGACCATTGGAACGCATCAAACCGAATAAAATCATGTTGCACCGTGCCGTGCTTCCATTAGTGACATTGTTAGCATAACAAGCTGCAATGCTGCAGCCTGATCCGGATGCCAGAAGCTACAAGCACTGAAGGCCATGGACCAGCTTGCACATGTCAAATCCAAAAATGCTCATGGATGAGTTTCGGCCAGAAGTGTAGGCAAGGGAATGACAGAGCACACTGGATCTTGCAGAGGATTTGGAAGCCTTCTCAACAACGACCAGCAAACATAAAGAACTGTTTCTGGCACATCCACCTCTCTGGAATGCTGTCAGCATTTTTGCCACCCGACTCTTCCAGCAGATGGAACACAACACGTGCCATCCTCACTCGTTCTGTATGAGCGAGATGTCCATTGTGAGCACGCGGCACAACGAGCTGAAGTACTCACGTGCAAACTGATAGAAAACCTCAGGGAAGACTGGTAGCAAAAATGGAAAATGCTGACAAGCTAGGCGAGCTAGGCGAGCTAGGCGAGCCACACCCAGATCCATCGGACCATCCCATAGCTCATCAGCCTCCCGGACGGACGACTCTCAGATGTCAAAACGCTCCAAACTTCTGCCTCCTCCTTCTCGAGTAGGTCTATGTCGCAATGTTGGCATATGTGGTTCCTCAACTTTTCGAACTGCGGTACTCTAGGTCTGATGTGATCTTTGAGTTCCATGCAACGCCACCTGCAGCATCTCCACCTTTCTTCGCCAGGTAGAGTGGATGCTTCTAGGAAAGCGCATGCAGAAAAAAGAACAACACGGGACCCGACATTGGCCAGTTGCGATGGGGCCTCTGACCTGAAGTTCCCCACACATGTGACTGGAGTCAAATATGCAAAGCCCTGCTCGCTGCTCAGTTTGAGGGCAAAACAGCGTCTCTCCAGCAATTGCAACTGCCCGCTGGCAAACCTGGCTCGCAGGACAGGGCTGCAGCTGACGCTCCAAAGCGGGCAATTGAAACATCAGCACTTTGGAACCTCGAAGAGGGCGGCATTATCGCACAACAATGCCTCCCGGGCAGAAAACAAAGGCAACCTTACATGGAACCTGAAAGTGGCTTTAAAGGACCTTGCTTAATGTTTGTGAGGTTTCACATTTGTTCGCTGAAGGGCATGATCGAACGGCTGCACTGGGTGCCTGCAGCTTGGAGGGATCTGCGACATCACACAAATCATCGCGCAGGGATGTTTTCGCGGCATCATACTGAACGTTCTGCGTTTCCGTCTGGCCGAGCAAGTTCGCGGGCTCTGAGGTCGCAGGCAGTGTTATGGCACCCCATCCCTGCAACGTACCAGACTCTGCGTTGACCTGCCATGTCCGGTCACACGGCTCTTCAGACTGACCGCCTGCCATGTGGAAGTCGACTCGAGGAAATTGTTATCTTTGGATGTCTTTGGAGAGGATCTGCGCTCAACTTGACTATGTCAGGCCTGATCTGAGTTTTCGAACCGTATGTGTCAGTCGCAACTGGCACTACAGCACACCTGGCATGAAATGTGAGTCTTTTTCTGCCTGTACAGGGGGGGCCAACACTTGATGGGTCGCAGAAGCACAAAGGCAAATGACTCGCAAATATCATGAGGCAGAAAGCCCAGCGGTGATGCATGAAGTGCAGGCTTTTTGCCCATCATCCCGCAGCATTGTATTGCATCTGCACTCCATCCTTCTGCAGGTAGGAAGCGTCCTCTCAGTAGATACAGCACAGCCAATCCAACCATCCTGCAAACTGCTCGTCCTCTCGAGTTGCCAAAGCTTCCAGCCGATGCACCACTGGATGAAAGATATGCTTGTGAAAATGTTCGAAGAACCTTTCAAGAGAGATTTGTGAGAAATGCAACCAACTTCCCATGTTCACCGAAATTCTTGCAAAATTCGGCCGGACCGACTGGTCGAGTGCACCACGCAATTCTTCCGGATCCTGGCTGAAAACCAGCACGCCTACTCTTCAATGCACAAGATCAAAAATGTCTCCTCCATTGCTGGTCTAGCTGACATATCCCCCGGATCTTTTGTGATAGTCCTTGTACAAGACATTAAGCAATCCAGCAAGAAGTGAGCCACTTCTTGACACCTGCCCAGGTAGAAGGTCTTGTCCAAGCTGCCTCGTATTCCAGCTTCCCTGGATTCCAGCCCTTCTGCGCACTGTTTCCACGAAGTTCGGCCTCCCGCCATCGAGCACAGGGTCTCGTGAAACAACCTTGGTCAAGTCCACCATCAGCCATGGCAAGCAGCAGAACCACAAGGAGTTTGGAATTCGCGGATGAAGACTCTGGCTGGATGTCATCTTGGACTGACACCCGGCTCCTGGAGGCTCCAGCGTATGCGACGACATTGCCGAGGCAGGCAAGCTGCTGGTCAGCTTGTTGCTTGAAACCATACAACTGTCAAAATCCCGAGGCTATTGAAAACACGAGGTACAACAACGAGTAGCTGAGGTACGCTGTTGGGGTGCTTCTTTGTTTGCGGTTCTTTGCACACAGTCCCAGCCATCCGATTACCCTTGGGGATCACAGAGAAAGACCATCGAAACATGAATGCCGAGCGTGTAAGCTGCAGAAAGCTGGCGAGCAGTGCTGCGAGGATTGCAGTCTGTGGAGCATGTCACGTGATTCTGTCGCCGGGGGCACGCTGCAAGCACAGCACAGCAGCTTGAAGGGCAGTTGCGCTCCGTCTTTTTTCCATGGCTGTGGCCCAAGGCTTGAAGAGGCATGTGACAGAAGGTTCTGAGCACCTGCGCAGGAGCCTCAGCCCGTCATGACACCTCAGCGTGATGGAACTCGACCACTCAAAAGCACACAGCCAGCTCATAAGTGACCAATCCAGCCATCCAGCCCCACACTGCCCAGGCACTGCTGTCTCGTAGATGACGCCCGGTGCGAGCGTGTCGAGGGGAGAGCGCGCTGCTTCCCAGGCTGCCTCTGAGATGCCCCAATGATCCGACTGTACTTCCCACACATTCCCCTCAATCCCACAGGCAGCCAGGAGAATGCACAGGATCAGGGTGAATGTAACTGAGGGGGGGCGGAGCCTGGTAGAAGAGCAGCTTTGTCCAGGAGATTCCAAGAAAGCATGCAGCATTTACTGCAAAGTTTGGTTGAGAAACGTTCCCGAAATTTACTGGCTCCTTGGCAGCGGCTGGCAGCTCAAACACAGGCCTGCACAGGCACCCTAGCAGCTTGATTGAGAAAAAGAGTTCCGGCCTCCGCTGGGCCATAACTTGATGACCTGATTTGCCGCAATCATAGAGCAACGATGCCGCGCAAATTGGCACACAGCTTGTGCCTGGAACATCTCCATTGGGCACTGCATGAGCCTTGCATGACAAAAGGCTTGCGCAGCATTGCGCAGCGTGCCTTAGCCACACTTTGACGGCCCCCTTGCTGCACCTCCTGGCCATCTTCGCTAATGGGCACATTTCCTCTGTCCTGGGCTCATTTATGTAGTTGGCTTACATGGCTCGTATGGCTGTGCTCACTCCTCGTTGCCAACTTCAACCGCGGCTGATGCTAGCAAAGTGCCATCCTTGCAGATGCCAATCTGTCCAAAACCCAGTGCGCTCGCTACTTCTGCCATCCGCCGTGCCTTCTGCGCTTGCTGCGCTATGTGCGACCTGGTGAGCACACAAAAGCTCAAAACACACAAATGGGTTTCGAAGGAACAGCATGCTCAACTTGCGCAACAACGTCTGCATTCCATCCAAGGCGCTGCAGCAGCTGTTGCATGTGCACTAACTGCCTGAAATGCTCCTGCTGGACGTCGGTCAAATGACCCTGACTCCTTGGCAACGGAATGAAACAAAACTCTGACACTCTCCACACCCCCCAAAACAAGGCGCGAGCATCTGCAGCTCTTGTAGCTGCTGGAGCTGATCCTGAACCTGTGCCAGCAAGGGCTGCACCTGCTGCAAGTCCTGCATGTCGCTCAACAGGGTAGAAAGACCTAGACTGGAAAGGAACACGCAGCCATTCGCTGGAAGCAAGGCGTTCATTCAGTCCACGTGATTAACTGGCCGCTCCGCCGGTGCTTCCTGGCAGGAGCAGCATGGAAAAGAGTATGGCCTATGCCATTCGCAAGATTGACATGCCCACATATCTGCGGAGGCATAGGGGATTATCAAGATAGAAGATGGCGCTTTGGCCAGAACCCTGCCTACCTGATTGCCAGTGGCCAGGCTCTGTTCAGCCTTGCCGCCTCACATGCATGAATACGAAGGCAATTAAAGTCGATTTTTCATGATTCAGTAAACACAACTATAGACCCAAGATCACGGCCTGGTTGCAGCTTCATTTCCGCAGGCGCCTGGACTTTCATGAAGCAGAGAAGCTTGGGAGGCTGAGCAGAATCGGACTTCACCAGGCGCCTGCGGCTGAATGTTGAATGCACGCCTGGCAATTCAGTTAAAACTTCGCACTTGCTAGCATACGTACCAAATGACTTGGTCAGCAACACCTCGGCGCAGGAATGCGATGCAGGAGGCCTGTCCTGATGTCAGCACCTATGGCCCCGTCACCTTCACAAACAGAGCATTCCGAATCTGATTGCGACAAACTCCTGAGGTTAGAGCCACCCCATTGTGTGGATGGCACAATGATAACCTCAAGGCATCCAGCTCTTGGGTGTACAAGCCTACGAATCAAGTTTGTTCACTCCAAACACCTGCAACCCGGCCTCTCTGATGCTCTCTACTTCTGTGTTGTACACCTTACGGACCAGTTTGCAGAATTTCTTCGTACAAAATGTGCTACGGCTTCCAAGACACATAGATTTTCAATTCCATACCCATGTACAGGTTCACGACCTCCGTTAATTCGTCCTTGGCGTGCCGCATCAAGCTGGCAACTCTTGCTCTGCTGTTGTTTGACATAGTCCACCAAGACAAAGGGGGCTACAGCGTTTACCATTAACTTACCTAGGCCTGGGCGTTGGGCGCGCTTTGCTGAAATTGAGGGAGCACCCCGAGATGCAGGGTTGGACTGGGGCTTCGGTAAATGTTTCAGGCCCCCGTCCCCCTTCGCTTGGCTCCCCCAGCAACAGGATTGCAGCACGGTGCCCTGTGTGCTTCGGTAATGCTGCTTGCGTGGTGACAATTTCCAATTTTCTGCCCTTCGTGCTACCTTCTGCTTTAGCCTGTAGAATGTGGCCAGCCTCAAACATTGCAGACAACTTAGCGACTCCACTCTACGTTGTTCTCTGTTGTTGTTTCTCTCTTTCTCTTCTTGTATACACGCAGCACCACCCACCAGGAAGGGTGGATCAGGGTTATGCCCTCAGTGTCGGTCTCTCCTTTCTCTTCCGGTTGCATGCAACCCATGAACCCCATGACAGGGTTCACAGGGGCTACGCTCCGTGGTCCGGCTGGCCATGGAGGAGTTCAAGATTGGTGTGGAATATCTCAAAAACCATGCAGGCCTTCCCGGGCACTCAGAAACACGGAACATTCCAACACTGTACAATCCCTGCATATCCCTGCTCAGTCAGTCAGTCAGTCGGTAATATGCCGGGCGGCACGTGGACAGGTAAGAGTTGGCACACTGCGCGATGCCAGACATGTGGATTCTGTACAAGCCTAGCTATCTCAACGTGCCACTCAAAGAATTGGAATGCTTTGCCCATTACGTGCATGACCCATTCTCGTCGTGGCCTCCCCACTCTTCTCACACACGCGCTTGTAGCAGGCTGCAAACTCCCAGGAATAAATGCGCAAACGTGCAACGGGTGGTCAAGTGGAGATCTCAAAGCTTTGCCAAAAAGTAGGAGTTGTGGTTTGAGAAGCATGTCAGTGGCAGAAGTGTAAGATGCCCTGCGTAAAACTTCCATGTTCGACACTCTTGAAATAAACGCAGGTGGGATGCCAAGAATACCTCGTAAACACTGGTTCTGAAAGCCGTCCAGCCGTCGACGATCAGCAGAAGAAGCCACAAACAACTCAGAGAGTACATCAGTTTCGATTCCATAAGGGCTTTGTAGATTTCGATCTTCCGGAATCGGGGTAACGACGAATGCTGCCAAACTTTTTGGAGTTCAAGAAAATCCCTCTTTGCCATCCCGATTCTCCGGCCAAGCTCATGCCCCGGCAGACCATCATGAGTGAGAAAAGCTCCCAAGTAGTCGATGCCCAGTTTTGGCACGATGCGTTCGTGCGCGGGAGTCGAAATTGAAGCTCGACATTGTACCTGCAGCAGTTGAAGTTCCATACGGTACAGCATTTGCCACCTCTGAAAGAAATTCCTGCAAATTACAATCAAATGTACCAAGCAAAAGTGTATCATCAGCATAGACCACATCAGCCAGATCACCTCGATGGTATGCAAGCAGCGCTGAATTGCTCAAATCTTGCCACCTTTCGAAAATTCCATCTGCAGTGGAGCTGTGAACCTTACGATCCTGACTGGGAGTAGAACCCCATTGGGAGAACAGTGGCAATACGGGAAATCGGGGGGTCAAGCACTTCGCCTTTGCATTTGTTTTGGTTTGCCACTTGGGGGGAGCCTCTTTCTGGTTAGGCTCTCTCCACTTCTGCAGATCGTGGTGTGATATGAAGAGTCTTGACACAACAAGGCTGAGTGGAGCTATCTCTCCGAAGAGCACGAAAGCTTGCCAGTGCATTGCCTGAGGACCTTACCAACTAATTTGCAGTCTCTGACGAAGTCATATGCCAAGAATCCATGTCTCTGAACATCACCTCCGTCGTTCCGAGCAAGAAATCCTGAAAACTGTGAGTTGTTGCAGTGCAAAACGACGAGCAAGATTGCACAAGGCCTTGTTGGGCACCAACCCAGCGGCTTCTGCTGGCGAGTTGGGAAAAACAGTGAGGACGCGCATGCCCTGCAGCCATGTCCATTCACACGATTGGAACTGCCCACCAGCAAGCACAACATCCACAACAATCATCTGAACACAAATAGCAGTTTCTTGCAATCGCTGCGCATCAGCTTCAGCATTGCAAATTCTGAGGCGAGTGGTGAGTGAAGTAGCCGCGATACAAAGGAGTCCAGCTCACTCGCAATCCCTGGTACTGTTGATCTGTCTTCACGAATGCAGGCCACAATCTCATTTCCGTAGGATTCAGTCTATGGGCAGCAACAAGCCAAGAGCATCCTATTTTCTCCACTTCCATTTTATATTCTATCATCACACTGAGAGAGGGCTGAAAGTACTTTGGTCCTGATCCGAGCCAGTCAGTCTGGTTGTTTCTGTGGTCTTCAACTTGCCGGCACAAGCTTGAAACGTCCTGGGAAGTGGAGCCGATATTCCCAGGTCATCAGAACTGCATCACTCTTCCCCGGCCTCCTGTGCAGCCTCCTGAAGCTTGATGGTTATAGGGTTTGGAGCCGCCCAGACGAAGAGAATAGAAGCAAACATACAGATCATACAGGGCGGTGTGCATAGATGATCACCATACCAGCAGCGGCACGAGGCAGTGTAAGCAGCCTCAGCAGCATAGCAGCGCTTAGATGTCCAGTGGCGCGGAGCTTTGTTATTCTTACCCCCTTTATTATTGCCCATCGAACTTGTTCGTAGGTTCTCGGGCTCCGAACTTGTTAGAAAGCAGAAGTAGTCTTCTGGACTTTTTTAACTGTACCTGGAATATCTTTTGTGAACATTAGCTTCTACCAATAGTCAGCCGAACCTTGTTTTGGTGTGGAATGTGCTGAAACACAGCACAAGCAGGACGTGTTGTTTTTTTCCGCTCGCGAATTTGCTGTAGTGACACGAGCGGCTGTGAGCCCAGCGCTTCACTTTTTTGAAGCCAGGAAGTTGCATTTGATGATGCCCCTGTTTGGGGAGTCTTGCTTAAGTAAGGTCTTGCTGGCAATGAGAATGACATGAAAGGGAAAAGCACCCATCGGAAGGGATCCCGACATGAACCGATCTCCTTCTACTTGTGCATCTTGTACTACTACTGTAGTACTGCGGCCTGTGCTTCCTAGACTTAGTCCTACCCCCACCCCCGAAGACCAAGTGGTGGGTGGGGGAAGGATTTACTACGCAATATTACCCCTTATCGAGGGCAAGGGAAGGTCTCAAACCTTCTTGCCTCCACACTCAAGGCTGTCAGGTCTCCTCCCACCAATGTCTAGCAGAGTCTAGCAAACCCCTGCCAAAGGCCCATGTCAACCTGACCTTGCCTGCGCTTTTCTGTTGGGACAAAGAGGATCAAAAAGCATAAAGAGGCTTGAGGCCTGCAATTTCGTGAAGTATGTATGCATGTATGCGGAACTGTCACAACATTACCAACAACGAAGCAGAAATCCTAGCAGTCCCCAGCGATGCAAACAGTAAATCCATGTGAAGTTGAAGTGCATTAGCCAACTTGTAAGAAAAGCCGACTCGTTGCATAACCTTCTCTGGAGGCTGAAGCCTCGGACTCCTTTACTTGTAGCACGGCAAGCACATCACATGGAAAGCTAAGGGCACAGCAGTGTCTGCAAGCCAGTGGAAGCTGAAATCATGCAATCCTCATCCTGATCAAAACTCGGAAAATCTTTCTTCCCTGACCCCTCACTGCCGATAAGTCCCACAGCAGCGCCCACAGGCAGTGGCATTGAGAATGATGAGATTGCTAAAAGGCGCCGTTGTTCCGTGCGTGTGCAGTATTGGTTGATTCAACTCAAGCGCTTTGTGGCTTGTTTTGCCAGAGAGTGTGCGCTTCTGATTTAAATTCGTATTGACAATGGGTGCCCACTAAAATGCAGGATGATCACCACCACGACCCGCCACCACGAACCACCACGAACCACCACGAACCAACACGAACCAACACGAACCAACACGAACCAGAACCAGAACCAGAACCAGAACCACCGACGCCGCCGCCGCCGCCGCCGCCGCCGCCGCCACCACCACCACCACCACCACTACCACATACCACCACATACCACCACATACCACCACCAACAACACCAGGACCATGAACTCGACCACCACAACCTTCAGCAGCACCAGCACCAGCACCAGCACCAGCAGCCATTGTTGTGAAAATCTGAGCTTCTCTCTTTGCGCCTGCCCCTCGGCACTTTCCAGCGTATCATACCGAACCTCATGACCAACCCGCTGGGTCCAAGACTCTGGACAGCGCAAGGAACCCAACAATTGACTTGGAGGCTGACAACGGCACCAAGCAGCCCGGCACCACCCCATCGCCTTCCGAGCCGAACACATTAGAAGACTCTGACTCAACATGACTCAATTGACTCAAAGTGTGTGCCTAGGCGTCACGTAGACATCACGGACCCTGTGACAACATGAGACATCATGCTTCAGCAGACGTTGCAAACCTTCCTCAGGGGACCGGGCGTGTGCGTCCGGATGTTGTGGACGACCAGCTTGGTGCGATGATTCTCAGCCTCTTGGATGGCTGTGGCAAACGTCGCTTGATCCGCGTCCATGTGCACGCCATCGATTTCAAGAATGAAGTCGAAGAAAACTTCCAGGCCCGCTTCTGCAGCAGGACTGCCAGGATTGACTTTGAAAATTCGAAAACCACCCACTTCAATGGACCTCAGCTTCTGCAGATATCACACGCTATGCAGAGTGAGCTCCAATACTCTACAAACTGCGATGCTCTGGGCAGGTAGCAGCAAGAACAAAAAGGGCATGGCAGAGTCTGCATCCTTCACCCGTCTCAGAGCAAATTAACGAGAGCTTCACTGTGTACGCGATCGAAGAAATATGCAGCAAAAGCATTTACCACAAAACAAGCTTGATCAGATGGCAGTCATCCGAAAACCATGACGCTTCCTCGTCATGCCCCTGCTGTGACGTTGAACATCAGGCGGGCTTGGAAATTCGGTTGCAAACCTACTACACATTACAAGCTTGAAGTGCACAAGCAAGCCAACCCAATCTAAAGATCAATTGCTAAATCGCTCCAGAAAGATCAAATCAAATAGCTCCGCCATGAAGATTCTAAGATGTTAATGACTAGTGCAGAGGTGCACATGCACAGCCCTATCAATAGAAAGACTGCTGTGCTCTCCACAAGCACATTCTTTGGCAGAATCGATTTTGGACCAAGACTTCTTTCGATCTACACTCAGCACTTGGCTGGCTGCCTCCCATAGCTCCATCTAGGCTCTGAGCAAGGTTTACTTCCTCATGCACGTTGACCAGTGGTAGGAGAGATGCCTCTCCCGAGAATGTTGAATTCAGTTCAGGCAGCAGTTTTTGTACTAGCTGATGGAGAACATTAACGGATGCAGGGCTTCCTGGTCAATCCTTGGCATCTAAAGCCTGCACAGCCACCGTCTGATATAATAAGCTTTGCGGGCCATTGCACTTCCATAGAATGATGTGAAAAAGCAGGCCTTGAGCCAATCCATGCAGACAGAAGCACAAGCAGCATCTCGGCCAATCACAGCAGATGGAGCACAAACAGAGCTTGAAATTCAGACAAATTCAGCAGAGTGTTCAGCGCAACTAGTTGATCTCTAAGCTTAGTCAAGGCGAGGCTTCTTGCCATCCGGGTCGGCCTCCCAGGCACTGCCGTACTGCGTTGCTTGCCACCCTTTGCGTGCCCGAGAATGGTGCCTTGTCGCTTGCCTGCCATGCCACCACTACGGCGGTCAGGTTGTCATCGCTCCCGAGTTCAAAAGCCCGCCTGAGTGAAAAGTTGCGAACCAGAGAGATGCCCTCATCAGCAAATTCATCTTAGCCCAAAGCCGAACAAGGGCATGCGCTGCCAAGTCAGCGGTCTTGTGTTCTGCACAAACTACCACAGCCTGCAGCCGGCTTCGTCTGGCAGGGGCACGCAATCGTGTGATGATTGCAGCCTCCTCATCATCCAGTACGTCCCAAACTCCATCGCATGCCAACACAAGGAATCTGTCCTGCCAACATTGGAAGTGACTTTGTCAATGCCAACCAGGACCGAACCTCATTGGCATTCAAGTCATGGAGCGTGATCTCGGGTAGCGCGCTCACCAAGGCGCCAGAGCAGCCTGGTGGCGAAACTGGCAAGCCAATTTCAAGTGCTGCTTCATGCACCGCTTTACTACACGACATGCCGTTCAGTCACTTTTCTTGAACTTGCTGCTTACCCTGTTTATTGTGGACACCTTTTGCTTAGAGGCTGCGATGGAGCATGAGGATCAGCTTTCTATTCCGCGCCTGTGCAGCCATAACGTTGCGGCTCCTTCGGACAGCAAATTCGCATGAGAGAAAGCCTAGGAGGCCTATGATGGCACTTTTGTCACCGGCTCCCTCCTTCATCAAGAGGTCACCGAATGCCCGGGAAACCGCAAGGCCCCAAAGCAGACTGCGACCACCAAATGTTGCCGGTCCGGGCGTGAAGACGCGCCAGACACCCTCACAAGCAACGGCACCCCCACCAACAAACATTAAAGCTCTAGGCTCTATACATACATGCATTACGCGCCTGCATGTCGACAACTCCTCCGTTGCCTTCAATGCGACGCTGCTCATCTGGTCGTCCAGGCTTGTGGTCGTCAGAAAGGCGAACAGCTCCAAGACGTCCCGCCTGTACGCATGTGCACGTGAAACCCAAGTCTATCTCATATGGGATCACAGAACACCAGCATCCTGCTGACGACCAAGGACTGCTCGAGAGTCACCCAAGTTGGCCACCAGCAACCTGGTACAGCATTGGGACATCGGTGAGTGTGTGTACCCTCTGGCTGCAGCTCTGGATGATTAGCCCCATTACGCCCAGGAAAAATCTGCAAACTTGGCAGACAATGGACTGCGCGGGCAAAATTGAACTTCTGAGCTCATGCCAGCCCTTCAGGCGAAAATGTCTACTGCCCTTACTCTAGCCTTTTCTGCCATGCTGGAAGCTGACAACTGACAACGAAAACTGTCAGAAAAAGGGAAGCTGTGGTTTCAAAACATGGTCGGGTAAAATTGATTATGCAATTTGATAAAACAAAACTAAACGTGCGAAGTTTCGTGCAACAGGGCCCACAATCTCACTTGCCCCGGCTGAAGCAAGGACCCCAACATGTATTGTGGCACAGGCTATGGCCCATATCCTTCAAATGGTTAACTGCCTTCACTTTCCAAGTGGTTGGGGGCGACAGTTGTCCAGCACCAGCTGCTGTTGCCTCTCTGGAAGCTACTACACAACGACCTCAGGCAACAGGTTGTCATGTGCCTGGTGCTTCAAAGGATTGAACTAGAATAGCATCAATTCTAAGGATGGCTCAAATTGCAGCGCTTGTACCTACATCCACCAACAGATGACGTGACAAGCTTAGGGTAACATTGCAAGGTACTTGGCAATGGCGCCTTTCCAACATCAACTACTAGGCATCTAAAACAGCTTGTTCAAGATGATGCTTCGAGTCTGCTCAAGCTGTCTATTTGGTTGCGTCACTGCTCGGCAGCATGTATGTCAAATTTTCCAATCCAGCATCTTTTCCCTCCTTCACCCTGCACCTTTTGCAAACGGAAGATGGTCCACCCTGATGATGAGTCTGAACTTGAAGTATGCGCACTGCTTTTTTCAACGTGGCAACTACCCTGCAAGCGATGTGATAAAATTGGATGTACAGATGAATGAGCCCAGTTGATGAACCTGTTGAATTGACCCGGCAGACTCTTTGGTAATCCTACATCGCATTCCAGAATGAGGCAAGAGTATTGCTTCTCCTGCTTCGTGGATTCATGGACGGACACGATCATGCTTTCCATATGCAATCACTACCAACGTGCACTTATTTTTTGACCTCAAAATCCCCCAAGCTGATGTACACACTGGCATGTCAGAACTCCCCTCGGCTTTTGTGCATGTTCAAAGTTTGATTCCATGTACTTTGGCGGCTGTCAAAGTTGCTTTATGTATAACCCTCATGAACCACGCAATCAACCAACCAAGAAAACTGACTGGAATGACATGTTGCCACGCTGGTTTGCCAACATCCACTCATGCAAGTGCAACTGGACATGTTGCGAATGTACTGCTGCGCTCTTCACTGCCTGAGAACCTTGCTTGGAAAAAGGAAAGACATGCCCCACTGTCGAAGCTCACACTGCATAACGGTAAGACTAGGATGAAGCGTCGAATCCAAGGCAGGCGGTACCATGTAACGCATGTTGACAAGCAGGAGTCGGGGGGAGTCTGCCACAATTAAGTTAATGGATCTACAACACCTGCGAACATACACATCACTTCTTCAAAGGTGCCCAACATGAACAGAAAAAGCAAAGCGCTCACCTACGGCACTGCTCAATTTTATCACCTGCCAAATTTGCGGAGCAATTGTTTGAGAATGCTGTCGGTCTCTACGCTAGAGTCGCTAGAGTGACCTCGCTGTACGTATAGTTTCTGAAGATCATGAAGTTGCTGCATCCACAAGCTTCGAGGCCTGGTAAACCGAAGAATCAACTCGGCACGAGACCTGAACCCTCTGAGCATCAGGTGGGTGCTACACGCAGAGTCACTGCCTCGAATGGTTCCTGCAGCGGTAGGTAATACCATCCGCATATTCCGGGACGCAGCGGAACAGCAAAAGCTTAAGTTCTGGTCATCATCAACATTCTCAAGTAACAACGGAGGTCGATACCAATCTAATGGTCGAAAAGCCTGATGAACATGACTTCTATGTTGATGGTCGGTTAGCACCATCACCCTGTTGTCAACGTACCTGGAGTACAACGCCATGGGCTCAAAGGTTTGCATGGGTCGTACTACGCGACTCCATTGATCCTCTATCAGCATCGCAACCGTACTACATAACGCCTGGGCCAGTTGTGAGCCCACACTGGCTCCTTGCACTTGCCGAAGAACAAGACGGCCTGTATTTAGGTAGGAGCTGGCAAGAAAAACTCCGTGAGCTTCACAATGTCTTGCAGGATGAGAACATGATGTCGGGCAGTGTGTGCCCGAAATCTGCCACGGAACGCCCTATTGAGTTTATCTTTGGTCTGGAGTGAAACAGACAACTCCGCCGCCCCTTCCAAGCCCTCATGTAGCTAATAACGATGCAAAACAAACTTCACAGCTTCGATGATTCGTGCATGAGGCACAGCATTGAAGAAGCCTGACATGTCTTGTTGTTGCAGTAACAGTACCTCCTGCTGAGGCCATTGATTCATCGTTCTCCATAAGGCCTTGAGAATGTGGGACACTGACGGAAGTGCAAGATCCCTGCCAAAGACCCTGTCATTGATTTGGGTGAGGGCTGTCGCCGCAAATTGCGACAATCTGCCAGTGTTGGTTTGAAAGTACGCCACTATGGGCCTGGCCCCCATCCACTGCTTGCTTTCTTTAGGAAGAAGATATCCTTTAGGAAGAGGTCGACGGGAATCAAACACATGATGATATCTGCCTAGCTTCTGATTCGCAATGTCAACGAGCTGCCTGGAGGTTACCGGGACACTCTGTGGCATCTGTTGAAAGATAACACCATCCACAAAAGTTTTGATCAGCAGAAAGTGGAACTGTACCGGACATGCCAAATGCAACACATTGTGATGATCATCAGCAGGCAACGTAACCCACTTCTTCAACACTTGGGCAATTATCGAAGCATTGGACATGGAATTGCGTTGCACGATGGGTTGGGAACGTAGTAGCTCCGCTTCCTGACGTATCATCTCCTGCCATACGATTTGTGCTGCGAGGGGTAGCTTCCACTGCTGAGACCACTTGGCAAACGTCTTGACATGGTGAAGTTCAAACTGCCTGGGTTCGGGCCAAACAGTGTCAGTCACGCTATACGTCAACACCGAAGGAAATTGTCCAGGATAGAGAGAATGAGCAGCAGTAGCCGTACAGAAAACATGCCCGCATCCGGTTCGAGGAAGAAGAGGAAATTGAGCGGTTTTTGTTGCAATCCATGTCGATGGTTAAGCAGAACCTGTCCAAGTGTCTGGTCGCTGACCTCGGTGATCTGAGCCTTGGGAAGGTGGTAGGGCGGGAACTGTGCAGAAAAAAAGTCCTGCGCAAACGATGTCATCCACCGTTTCACCTTGCCAACAAAGTCTGCGGAGGTCTGCAGTACCCTCAGAAACTTGTTCTGGGGTGGAACAGACGTCCCTCTAAACCTGAAGATGGAGCGAAGCTGATTGGTGGCGCGTGGCCGAACCCATGCATCCAAATGAGGTGAAAGACGAACCAAGTAGAACAGGAAAGAAGTGGTCACACTGCTACTCCTCAACAGTTTGGAGACTTGAAACTTGTGATCCGTGTTACTGCCTAGTCTCGCCAGCAATGTCAAATGATCTACTTCCTGACGAAGATCCACAGAGCACAAACCCATACGCATTGGCCCCAAGCGGTGTCTGCGATTTCTATGCACGCGCTTGCCCGGTACACCTGTGTTGGAATTCCACTGCAAGAATGGCTGAATGGCTTTTTGCTCTGCGAAAGGCTCAGTCTCGGAGCCCATCAGCGCCGACTAATAACTCAGGTTAACTAGAGTTACGAGAAATTTGCACGCTGTGGCTTATGAAGGAGACGAACCCAATTATCTCTCGCAAAAGCAAAAGTCCTAACCCTACGATAAAGGAGAGTGTTCTCCATCCAAACTACGCTTTGTGAGGAATGCTGATTAAGCACTTCTTGGGTAGATGGAACAGCAAAATAGGTATTGTGGATGTCAGTATGGAGAGGCGCCGAATCTGATAGGAGATAGTCAATGCGATTGGCTGCTTCTGCCACGCAGGATTCTGCCCCATGTAGGCGTGGGCGGCCCACTCTATTGGGTCCTGCTATGAAGCGGTACGCTCCCGAAGGCATAAAGGAGGCCTGATACTCTAACGAGTCAGCGTGCCTTAACATGTGTCCAAAGAGGCGAAGTCTATTGCGCGAGTAGCATTGAGAAGGGGAAACCACTCGCCTAGATGAATATGCAAGACCAGCGAGATATTCGTTAGAGCATTCAGCGTCTGTGGGGTTAAGAACACGGTGATAGTACGAGGATTTGATCTTAAAGATTCTACGAAGGCTTCGGAAGTGAACCCAATTAAGCCTTGTTAGTTGGGCAGGGGAAAGCAGAACACTATCCATGGCATACATAAGAACAGAAAGGATAATGGATCTGTAAACTGTGAGTTTCCAGGAGGGAGGAAGAGAGCAGCGAGAAAGGAGAGGCTTCAGCAGCTTGGACGAGTGAATAGCTTGAGAAATACGATAAGACGTATTTTTGCGTGAGTTACCGAAAGTGTGAAGATAAACTCCTAAATACTTAACCTCGTTCGAGAGGGGCACTGGGGATCCCACGGGGTCACTACCTGTGCAACATTCACATTGACAGTGTGGGGTAGAGCAATCCGAAGAATAGTAAATCCTTTGATCAGAATTAAATCTAAGATGATCACATTTATCCTCATTGAGGAGAAGCCCTCGTTGGGCGCCAAAGAATTGAATTAGAGGAAGTGATCGAATAGCATGCTGCGCAGACTTACCAAGTAGGACAGTATCATCGGCATATTCCAAGTCCCAGAGAGGAGAAGGAGTGTGAATGACTCCAGGTAATAGTCCGTAGAGCTGCGTGTATTTGTCCTCAACATCGTGGAAGAGGTGTGTGAGGACCATACTAAACAAATAGGGTGAGAGAGGGCATCCTTGCCGGAGCCCTTTAATCTGCGTACGCATAGAAGAGGATTGCTGGGAGTCTCGGACCCTAAAAG